CTGCCATGTGATTGGTTGATTAGATAATTGCATTAATGAGAAATTGAACAGGTGTTCCTAATAATCCTTTAGGTGTGTGTGTGTGTGTGTGTGTGTGTGTGTGTGTATGTGTGTATATATGTATATAATATATATATATATATATATGTATATTTATATTTTTTTTTAATATGGTTTTTGGAGCAACATATGCTGTCATCCAGACAATGTCTTTCTCAGAGACAGTCTTGTATATTTCAGCAAGACAATGCCAAACTGCATTCTGCGTGTATTACAGCAACATGGCGCCATAGTGGCAGTAGCTTTTCTCATTATGCAGAGTACTTTATGTGGAGTTAACATCTGTTAAAATAAATAAGCACTATTGAGATGCATGTTAATTTTTTATTGTGGGTGTTAACTCCACACAAACAGCACCACTTTTCTGTTTTTGAATGAAGTGAGGAAATATGTAGACCGTGTATATACTGGGGTATATGATCATATAGCCTTTATGTTCCAGCTAACATATGACTGATGTGAGAAATGTTTTCATTTAGCAAACAATTTCATGCCTGATAGTGTTTCATATTTTTAACATAAGTATTTGCATGTCCTTATTTAAAAAGATTCCTGATTTGTCTTGACTATTTAACCCTGAATATTACACTTTATGGGTTGGCCTCCCATCCTGGGTTGTTCCCCGCCTTGTGCCCGTAGCTTCCGGGATAGGCTCCGGACCCCCCATGACCCAGAAGGATAAGCAGTTAGGAAAATGGATGGATGGATATTACACTATAACTACTTTGACCCTTCAGTTTAATGCCATATTAAATAACCACAGTATGTCAGAAAGCTTCCCCTTTGCTGTATTAGGGCATTTGTGTCTTTCCTGGAGGGGAGTGTAAATCCTTACTTTCTTGGGAACCAAAGCTCCCTCTGTCTGTGTGTGGACAGGATCTATGTTTCAGAAAACAAATGCTCCAGGCAATGTGTGCTGCTTTCTAGAAGGAATATCATGTTAGAGTAGATGATGGTAACTGTTAGATAACAGTATGATGGCCTTCTTGGATGTTTCTTAGACTAGTAAATTGCTTTTCACTTCTCTACAGATGGGTTGTTGTATATTCAAGGGGGCTTCCCAGTCTGGGCATTGACTCTTCTCATCGGCCTCTTCTTGTGTGCCATCATCTTCTGGAGCACAACCAATTACCAGCCCCCCAGATTCCACTTTGTAAGACCTTGCTTTTTATTCATTGTGTAGTAGGGATGTAACGATACACTTAACTCACGATTCGATACGATTCACGATATGATTTTTTAACAGAATGAGCTGCAGACAAATTTATTCAAAAATATTCCTTTATCTATCTTTCTGAACAGTGCAAAACATGTCCTCTTCTTAACAGTGCAACTGAAATTGAATAAAATACTGCTTAAAAAAAATCCCAAATCAAAATAAATAAAAAATCTTCAAATGAATACACAGTAGTGCTTTACATTAACTGCACCTTCATAATGTTTTTTATTCTGCATTCATAAAATGTTCAGTACACCTTGATAATGTATTCATTAAGTATTCAGAAATCATTCATAAACATCATGCATGTATACCTTAATATCCTAACATCCCTTAACAGCTATAATATACATTAATAACAAACATTATATAATAATAACAAACATTATAATTGTATACTCATGTAATGTTTGTTATTAATGTGTATTAAAGCTGTTAAGGGATGTTAGGATGTTAAAGTGTAATTGCATGCTGCTTATGAATATTCTATGAATGCATTATGAAAGTGCACAGAATGTTCTATAAATGCATAATGAATGCATTATGAAGGTGCGCTTAATATAAAGTGTTACCAAATAAACTAAGGCTTGCATGTCCAGCTTTTTAGCGTGGTTTGCCCTTTTAATAATCTTTGCTCTGGCGTTGGTGAATTGAGCTCACTGTGGTGCCGGTGGACATGCTGAAGCATGTTTGTTGTGCTATATGTGTATGTTATCAGTCTTTTATAATGTTTGCACGCAGTTTTTGTCTTGTCTGTGCTTTTCTCACCGTTTTTGTTTGTGATTACTGGAAAGCTAAAATTCTGCCACACTGTTGATTTAAGATCGGGGGGGTGTCCTCAATTTGAAATTCACTCGCCATCTCGCGTTCGGTCAAAACCAAAAACTAACGTACAACGTCGACGTTTATATGCAGTGACATATGACGTCGAACTGACGTTGTGAAATCAAATGTAATATTACACCAGTTTTTGTGTTAAGTAAAGTACCGTGAAGTACTCCTAAACTAGCGATTCATTTTCCACATGAGCCGGTTTAAATCGTCATACATCTACATCAATTTTTATCCGATTCGCGATTCATTGTTACATACCTATGTAGTAATGTCATAGTAATGGTAAAAAACAACTGATTCCAATTAAGGGTAATTTTATAGAGGGATTCCCTATGTGTCCGTACTGAGGCAAATCAAAAAAATTCAAAGCAACAACATGTGACAGACTTTTTGGCCAGTTAGCACATTGGGGACCAATGATAGCACGCTCATATGGTAATGTATTACAAGTCCATACAGGTGGAAGTGGTCTGTGATTGGAAAGTTGCCCGTTTGAATCCTTGGCAGAATAATCACGTCTCTTTTAAACCTCTGAACCCCCAAAATGCCCCAGGGGTGCTGGGTAAATGACTGACCCTACACACTGTCCCCGAGCTTTGCTCTCATAATGTTTTTCTTTGTGCTGCAGCTTTTCTCTCTGCTGGGTTTCCTGGTCAGTGCGATGTGGATGAACACAGCCGCAACAGAGGTCGTGAGCCTATTAAGGACATTGGGTGTGGTTTTCAGCCTTAGCAACACAGTACTGGGCCTCACCCTGCTGGCCTGGGGCAATAGCATTGGAGGTAATGCAGCCTCCTGCATTTTAACTACTTTGCTAGTCTTAATATCAGGGAAGGTTTGTCAGTTGAATGGGTTTTGAGGGATATCTAAGGGAGGGGTTCCCATTCGAACCCCCTGTTGTTGACCTACCAAGGGGGTTGTGGCTAAAAAGTTTGGGAACCCATGATCTAAGGTGTATAAGAACTCACTACCTTTTAATTTGTTAGGATTAAGTAAGTTGAATGGAGTTCTATGTACAGTGCAGTTTATTGAATCACCTTTTGAATCTGTGTCCCAGAACAGATATTTAGTAGTGTTTGGTCTTGTTTTTGCAGATTGCTTCTCAGACATCACAATTGCACGCCAGGGGTATCCACGTATGGCCATCTCTGCCTGTTTTGGGGGAATTATCTTTAGTATCTTTTTTCAGGCTTGAGCTTGCATGTCATTCTGTGGTTTCACTCTAACATACCCTGCCCCAAAAATTTAAAGAAAAACTTTGAAAACACATCAGATCTTAATGGGGAAAAAATCATGCTGGATATCTATACTGATATAGACTGGGGAATGAAAGGATGGCACATTAATGGAAATGAAAAATATCAGTCTACAGAGGGCTGAATTCAAAGACACCCCGAAAATCAAACTGAAAAAAGATGCAGTAGGCTAGTCCATTTACCCGAAATTTCATTGCAGCAGCTCAAAATCGTACTCCGTAGTTTATTTGGCCCTCATGTACTTGTATGCATGCCTGACAATGTCGGGGCATGTTCCTAATGAGATAACGGATGGTGTCCTGGAGGATATCCTCCCAGATCTGGACCAGGGCATCACTGAGCTCCTGAACAGTCTGAGGTGCAACCTGGCAGACCAAAACATAATGTCCCAGAGGTGTTCAATTGGAATTAGGTCAGGCAAGCGTGGGGATCAGTCAATGGCATCAATTCCTTCATCCTCCAGGACCTACCTGCATACTCTCACCACATGAGGCCGGGCATTGTCATGCACCAGGAGGAACCCAGGACCCACTGCATCAGCGTAGGATCTGACAATGGGTCCAAGGATTTCATCCTGATACCTAATGACACTCAAGGTGCTGTTGTCTAGCAGGTAGAGGTCTGTGCGTCCCTCCATGGATATACCTCCCCAGACCATCACTGACTCACCAATGTTACAAGCAGCATAACACTCTCTGTGACTTCTCCAGACCCATTCACGTCTGTCACATGTGCTCAGGGTGAACCTACACCCATCTGTGAAAAGCACAGGGCCCCAGTGGCAGATCTGCCAATTCTGGTATTCTATGGCAAATGCCAATTCAGCTCCACGGTGCAGGGCTGTAAGCACAAGGCCCACTAGAGGATGTTGGGCCCTCAGGCCACCCTCATGAAGTTTGTTTCTGATTATTTGGTCAGACACATGCAAACCAGTGGCCTGCTGGAGGTAATTTTGTAGGTCTCTGGCAGTGCTCATCCGGTTCTTCCTTGCACAAAGGAGCAGATACTGGTCTTGCTGATGGGTTAAGGACCTTCTACGGCCCTGTCTAGCTCTCCTAGAGTAACTGCCTGTCTCCTGGAATCTCCTTCATGCCCTTATGCCTGTGCTGGGAGACGCATCAAATCTTCTGGCAATGGCATGTATTGATGCCCCATCCTGGAGGAGTTGGACTACCTGTGCAACCTCTGTAGGGTCCAGGTATTGCCTCATGCTACCAGTAGTGACACTGTCCATAGCCAAATGCAAAACTAGTGAAAAAATAGTCAAAAGATGAGGAAGGAAAAATGTCAGTGCTGTCCACCTGTTAAGCCATTCCTGTTTTGGGGGTTGTCTCATTGTTGCCCCTCTAGTGCACCTATTGTTAATTTCATTAACACCAAAGCAGCTGAAACTGATTAACATCCCCTTCTACTTAACTGACCAGATCAATATCCCAGAAGTTTAATTGATTTGATGCTATATTCTGAAGTGTTTCTTTCATTTTTTTGAGCAGTGTATTTAGGTGCTCATGTATCATGGGTAAGGTACAGTTTGTTAGGGGTGCATCAATATTGTTATTAGAATCAGGTTCAATACAGTACTCTAGTATTCACACTCATTCTCATGACAAATCTGTACAAAGCATGTACTCGGTACCACATGATGAGATATCTACAGTATCGTTAACAAGCAAAATAATTGCACTGTTTCTGTCTTGCTCCTGTGATACACACACTCGGATGGTGTTGTCCCAAATGATTTAGCATGTTGGATGTGTTTCCAGCAACATATCAGAATTTGGCATTACGCAGCCGACAGACAGTCTTGGTCTTATCGACTACTCACTCTCTGTTGTAGGTGTATTTTATTGAAATATTAAAATGTTCCCAAACCGCTGATTATGACTGACACTAACCTACATTAGTCAGAACTGACAGACAGCTACAACTACCATAATGTTTTTCCTATTCATCTAATTATGATTATAGGTTCCATCCAAATCAATGTGTATTCGTTCATTTCATTGTGCATTCTGAATTAAAAATTATATACTGAATGGAACCTGATAGATATGTGTACCATTACAGCCCTAAACACAACTAATGTAATTAAACATCTAAAGGCTGAATCATACTTCTCTTCACACAGGCATTCACATACACCCGATGTGATTTACTTAAATGCATCAAAATTAAAATATCACAGTAATTTGTTTTACATCACCTAACCCAAATTGGTATCGGTGAGTTCCATAAGGCTGAAAAAATGGTAATGATGCATCCCTACTATTTGTTAATTAGCTAGATTTTTGATTTATCCAACCCATGCATATGTAGGCTTTTGCTTGTTATTTGTACACCATATGAATGTTATGTGATTGTGCAAGTTTGAATCATTAGCTGAGTGAATTCTTAGAGCTGATTGAAATTTCATATATAGTGTCTAAATTGCACCTTTAGGGGTGCACTCTTCCCATGCTACAAAACCTGTATGGTAAAGTATTGGTGTCAGTTCTTAACTACCATTCCTTGCAGACATGGTTTTTGGTGTTGGGCTTGGCTGCCTGCTGCAGATGATCGCACACGATAACATGGTAAAAGTAAGTAACAGTATTGGTCACGACTCGCGTAGTGTGAAAGGCAGAGCTAGTAAACTATAACTTTGCATCAAGAGAGCAAAGTGACTGTTAATTGGCTTGGTAAAAGGTTGAGCGTTGTGTGTATATGCGTGCATGTCTACGAGTATCAGAGAGAAAGGCTTACAGTGTGTGAGTGGCCAGAAGTAGTTCCAAGCTGACCCAGTTCTTCCACTTGCCTTTACAGCTCCAGCCAGAAGGGTTACTGGTCTGGGTACTAGCAGTGGCCCTGGGCTGCAGCCTGGCATTCTCCTTCATTCTAGTGCCACTGCAGTGCTTTCACCTAGGCCGTCCATATGGAGCCTTTCTTCTGCTCTTCTATGCTGTCTTCCTGTTGGTGGCACTGCTTACAGAGTTTGGAAAAATTACAGTGGGGTGATAACTGCATTCACTGAGAAATGAAGTGGAAGTGGCCATTTTGCTCATCAGCTGATTATTTTTGTACAACTTCTCTGTTGTCTCAAGTTAAGGTCAGGGACATTGTATTCTGCATAGCCCAGTATGTTTTGAGAGTCCCTCACTAAAACTTAGTTGATACAATTTTATTATATAATAACTAGAAAAGAAAATATTTAATAATTTTAATTGGTTGGCCCAGCTTTAAAGACCTCCTATGAGACCCCATCTTGACAAACTTTATCTTGGGTGACCCCCTACTCCACACTTGGAAAGTTTCATTTTTGGGGAATCAGTGTTACAATGGTTTGTGTGTTCTGTTCACATTTAAGAGAGTGCCAAAATTATTGTGACTATTTATCAAAAGTGACTTGACTTTGTGTGCTTCTGTGGTTGGGGGTTGGGCTACTGTATTATTATCATTTATCCAAATGTTTTTAAATTAAAATGTTGAATATTATATATTTTTATATCATCCAGCCCTAAAAAAGAATATTGCAATTTTCTTGCTGAATATAAAATTCAGATGCTCAGGGACATGTGTACCTTTTTTTATAAGATGTAAAACATTTCTTTGTTAACATCCTGTTAACTTCGCTCTGCTGTTCTGGCTTTTTGTTCTTGCATTAAAGTTAGATAGCCCTACCGTAGAACCTCAGAAAAGCTATATATTTTCACATTATATGTAAATGTAATCTCATCAAATGTCTCAATATCTCAGCATTCCTCAATAATCAAAGCAGTAGCAGTGGTAATACAATCCTGGGTAGAGTCTGTCCCAAGCAGAACAGGCCATGAGGCTGGAGCACCCTTTGGACCAGATGCTGGTCTATCGCAGAGCACATACACGTGATCATGGCCAATTTAGACACCAGCTAGCCTGACTTTGCACTGTAGGGGGAACCCTGAGAAAAACAGGGAGCGCATGCAAACTTCACACACAGACAGCAGAGGTGCGGCCCACTGAGGTACCATGCTGAAATATGAGGGTCTTTTAGGAAGGCTTCACTGGGTCTAAAGTGGTTTGTGCTGCAGATGTTTTGCTTTTTCTAGTTTCATGAACAATATGACGCTAAAGTATGGGTTGATGGTAAGGTCTGAACACAAGTTTTCAGCTTATACTTACTAATAAACTCATTTCCCAAGTGTGTGTTTCTGCTCTAGGAAGAATCCAGTACCCATTTTTTTTAATATTTCATTTGGTTAACAAGTCATTTAGCCAAATCATTTGTGTTACAGAAATACAAGAAACATTTCTGAATAATTAAACACTTTAACTTGAATATGAATACACCAAGTCTTGTGCTTTGTACAGTTTGTAATAGGCTCTGGCCTTCTACATGGCCTTACCAAGATAAGTGATTAGAAGTGGGATGAATATTTGTTACAGTAACACAGATGAGGGAATGCTGAATGTCTAGGGTTTTAGTACTGTATAACTGCATTGTGTGCACACACTTGTCCTATGCTGTACTTGTTTTGGTTTTTTGTGAGTATGAATATTATCAAAATTAAACTGCCATCACTGATGATTTATATAAAAGGATTGTCTGGTTTTGCTTTTGTTTGATATATAATTCTGATAGTGTGTGTAAAGTAAATAAGTGATCGTTTGTTAAATAGTGTTGCAGATCATACTGGCCAAAGCAATGTGTTTCCTACAGTGAGAACTAGGGGTCAGGGTTCACTTTTTCTTCCTTGCCAATAAGAGAATATGCATCACTTTGTTATGTTTAGTCACTAGTTTGACTGAGTGAAATGGCTGCTGTAGTGTGTGCATCTGTAGGGCTATCTTCATTCTTTTCACAAGAACATTCAGATTTGGTTGTTGCTCATTTGTAGCTGCTCTGCCAAATGTTTGTCAGTTACATGGGAATGTTGTTTTGACTTTATTATTTCCATGGCAGAGAAGAAGCTTTCACACACATAAGAGGATGCAAGGCTGATTTGAATTTTCTGATCATGTTGGATTACTGCAAGGTGTGTATCCTTCAGAATACGGGTTCCCAAACCTTTCAGCATACGACTCCCAAAATAACAGTGTAAGAGACATGCAACCACCACTTTGATGTCCCCTTCCATACATTTTGTTTTCAAATTTTAGTAGCATGTTCTGAATGATCTTGCAGCCCTCATTTTAGGAACTCCTGTTTCAGAATGTGTAAAAGTTCTCCTTAAGAATATTGTGCTGCAGTTCGAGAAGTTGCTCCTGAAATGCAGCTCTTTTGACTCCACGGTTGCTGAGACTGAAATAGCCTGTAAATCAGAGGCAAACAGATTCTCTGGAGTAGTTGGATTAGGAATAAGAGTCAGTATGTTACTCGTGTCCTCTACAGTCAATACCCTTGCAAAACAATCATTTAACTCATTAACTATATTGATTTCATTGTCAATTATAAGACCTTTACCATCCTGCAGATTAGTGATTTCAGCTTTTAGAGCTTTTGAAGTTAAAATATTGGAAAAAGCTTTTAATGTTATCCTTAGTCTCTAATGCAATCTTCATTTCGACATTCCTCTTAGCGAGTCTGATATTATTTTTTAACTCATTTGTGGAACAGACCCCCTTTCCTCCTGACTTTATTCTTAATTTCAGTACTAAACCAGCTTGGTTGCAGTTTCCTAGATTTAGTTTTGCTTGGAAACAGATATGACGTTCTCTTGCAATAATGTGCTTTTAAAATTCCCATGTCACTTCAACAGTTTTGTTATTTGACTAGTTTTACCCATATAGCTTCTGTAGCTTTATTTTTATCAGTGAGCTCCCTTGCCTGCAAGTTTTCTTTTACATATACTGCAACACCACCTCCCTTCTTGCCTGTTTGGCCCCTATGGAACAACGTGTAACCATCCATATTATATTCTTCTCCATCATTGTCACTCAACCATGTTTCTTTTATTCCTATAACATTGCAAAGGTCTGATGAAGCCTCTAAATCATGAATTTTGTTTCTAATACATAATTAACTCACTATGACCCTGTCTCTTACTTCCAGCCCAGTATATTTACAGTATAATACCCAGTATTTAACTTGTAGTTAAAACAATAAAGTGCTGAATATAATAAAACATTAATTTAACACTTGAGTTAAAATGGAACTTTTTAATTATCAGATAGAAAAAAACATTTTCCCCCACAGGTGTTTCTTACTTGGATAGAAAACACTGCTCACGTGACACTTGCAGCTGCAACTTGCTTTTAGTAACACTTGTGTTGTTTATTAACAAGGACAGACAAGCACTCACGCAGACCAAAAAAAAGCCACCCACATACACTGTACTGGGAGACAAACACACAAATAGACTCCCAAACAATGACTGCAACGCCCATACAAGCTCAAGTTTGTTTGGGGAGAACTCAACCAATAGCTCAGAGTTGTTAAAATCTTATCTAGCTCTGATTTAAAGGAACCCAGGGTTTTAGCTTGCACTACACTAACAGTAAGACTATTCCATACTCTATAACTACACACTGTGTAAAGAAGTGCTTTGTCAAATCATAAGAACGTAAGAAATACACTCACCTAAAGGATTATTAGGAACACCATACTAATACGGTGTTTGACCCCCTTTCACCTTCAGAACTGCCTTAATTCTATGTGGCATTGATTCAACAAGGTGCTGAAAGCATTCTTTAGAAATGTTGGCCCATATTGATAGGATAGCATCTTGCAGTTGATGGAGATTTGTATATATATATATATATATATATATA